CAGAATCAAAAACCATGGGTCCACCAACAGTTCCCATCCCAAATTATACTACAGATCTGTGATATAATAGAATTTTCCATCACAGACAAATAAGGGTGAAAAGGAGTGAGAAGGAGAAAGGCAGAGATACTAACTGATACCAAACCTAATGCTCAAACAGATAACCCCACCTCATTATATGGCCAAGTGGGTGGTAGAAAAACACGACACTAATGTTTTTCTCACCATTTAAGACCTAGAGTCAAGGCCTTAGGAAGAGGCGAAGAGGAGAAAGCGCCCAGCCAGAGTCTGCATCAGACTGTCTCTTTCTGGCACCATTTTCATTTCCCTTTCTCCTTCCCTTTGAGAAGGCGGTCATGTTGTTGTTGTTGTTGTCATAATTTTACCTCTCTGAGCCTCGAAGTACTCCTTTCGAAAGTGATGAGAGAGTAATCCCTACTTGTTAGGGTGAGGTTGAGAATTAAGTGAGATAACTTAGGTGAAGTACAAACACCAAAACCATAAACCCATTGCTGTTGAGTAGATTCCAACTCATAGTAACCTTATAGGACAGAGTAGAACTGCCCCATAGGGTTTCCAAGGAGTGGCTGGTAGATTTGAACTGCCAACCTTTTTGTTAGCAACTGAGCTCTTAATCACTATACCACCAGGGCTCCCAAAGTACAAACACGGTGTTAGGTATTACCCACCCCCTCCCCACCACACACACACACAAATACGAGCTCTTTCAATATATTTTTTGAAGCCGAGCCCTTCAGTCTGCCTTTCTTGGACTCAAGTTTTAGCTGAGCCCCTAGGCTTACCTATAAAAGCTCTGTTTCAATCAAAAGCTCACACCAGTGGGGACCTTCCTCTATAACTCAGCAGTCAACGATCCCCAGGTAAGCCATCTTCCCAAACAGATTACAGTTTTGCATGGGTGAATGACAGTCCACAATGCAGATGGTGGTCAGCTGCTGTTCTCCCTTTCCACTGGATTCCACTGGATTTTTCCATCTCCAACCTTGAGAGTCACCTTCTCCAGAAAATATTCCCTGAACCCCCAAGCTATGCCCTGCCTTTGGGTTCCCTTCATATCTAGGCTATATTTCATTCATTCATTCACTCATCGGTTCAGCAAAAGACTAACACATGCTAGGACGTGGTTCAGACACTGAATGAACAAAACAGGCAAGGCTCCTGCTCTCCTGGAGCTGCAATTCTAGTGGAGAAGCTCATTAGACAATCAGTATGCAACACGTGAGTGGAGATAAGCACTAAGAATAAAAACAAAGCAGGGTAAGGGAATAAACAGTGATATGCTTTGGGTAGGATGGTCAGGTAGACTTTGCTAAGGTGGTATTTCAGCAGAGAAAGGATGGTGTGGGCCAGCGGGATATTGAGAAGTGTGTTCCAGGCAGCCTTTCTTTCTTTCTTAATGGCAAGGCTTTGTGTTGTTCAGCTTCTCCATCACTCAGCTCTGTGGAGGGCACAGATATACTACTCCCTTACTCTAGCTCACAGAGTAAATTCCTGCCTGGTTAAAGTTACCCTGGATCGCTCTACCTGCCCCCTAACTGGACTCATTGCTTCCAGTCTTTGTTTTCAATCCGTTCTCCAAAGTGCAGCCCTGATCTCCCTAAAACCCAAATCTGATCTTATCTTGCAGGTTCACAAGCCTTCACCTGCCTCCCATTGTCTTCAGGATACAATTCAAATTTCTCAGCTTGGGGACACAAAAACCCTCACGATCCAACCCTGGCTGACCTCTGAGAACTTGTTTCTGTCATTTCTACATCCATTACTTGGCCAGGAGTTTCTTCCCCTTCCTGGTGTGACCTGACTTCTGCTAGTCCTCAAGCCTCACTTAGTTACCAACTCTCCTGGGAAGCCTTCCCAGCTGTTCCCAAGCCTGGGTTAGATGTTTCTCTTCTGTGCTCCACAAAGCCCTTGTGCTTAATGCCATTGTGGCATGAATCACATTGTATCCAAGGCCTGTTTGTCCATCTCCTCCTTTCGTTGATGAGTTCCTGTCCTGGTTGTACCCCCAGGCACTAGTAAAGCACCTGGCACTTAGGAAACATTCATTGGATGGACAAATAAATGAATTAAGCATGTTACTTTCCAATCAGAGTCCCTGAGTGTTACAGTTGCTAATGAAAAAGTTGGACATTCAAGTCTACCCAGAGGCACCTAAAAAAGAAAGGCCTGCCAGACTTACTGGACCAATAGAGACTAGATGAAACCCTGAGACTATTGAGCTAAGATAGTTTGTAAACTTGGAACTCAAACCACTCCCAGAGGTCCACCTCTCAACCAAATGACAGATTGGCCCATAAAATAAATAACATTTATGTACTATGCTCCTCATAATAATCGTCTAGTTGAAACCAAATGGTTAACATTTACCCTCTACCAAATATGAGAAGGCTAGGGGGTGCAGGGAAGCTAGATGAATGGAAACAGAACAATCAAAATTGAAATAACAAGAATGTTGATATATGGTGAAGAACGTAACCAATGTCACTGAATACTATGTATAGAAATAGTTAAATAAGAACCTAATTTCCTGTGTAAACTTTCACCAAAACACAATATTTAAAAAAAAGAAAAAGAAAGACAGACAGGTCTGGCAATGTACTTCTGAAAAGTCAACCATTGCAAACACTATGGAGCACAGTTCTACTCTGACTTACACGGGGTCACCAGAAGTCAGAATCAGCTGGACACCTGGACACCAACTGGTTTTATCTTCCAACCAGCTAGTTTTACAAACTTTTTTTTCCCCTTTAAGGGGTGGAGGATGGAAAGGTGACCTTTTTGAGGGATTTCCCAATAGTACGTGAAAGCACTGGAGCTGGACAGAGCTGCACCTTTCCTTAATGGTTGCAAGAGGAATTTAGATTAGACAGCAAAAGCTGTTCCTTGTGTCCCAAGACACTGCAGTATAACTAAGGGAAGTAAACAATCTTTTCAGCTATTTTTTTAATTTGAGGTTGACCAATATTTTGGAGTCTATTTTTTTTTATAGGAAGTGGCCCCTTCATCTCTCTTCCAAGCCTTTGATTCTGTAGTTGCAAATCCATTACCTACAGGTAAGGGCAGTGGGTGAAGAGAACAGGGAATTGCTGCAAATAACAATGCCATGTGTTCTGTGCAAGAGTTTCCAAAAAGTAAATATTTTTGAGGTTTTAAAAAGTATTACGTACACCGTTGTAAATGCTGGAGAGCTGGAAAAGGAAGAAGGGGAAAACAGAAAAGTTAACAACGTTTTAAAAAATATATGTGCCTAACTAGAGAAAGACAGAGGGGTAATAGATGAAAGTACATTAGGATTGGGTCTCTTGCAAATTCCTGAAAGGGGAAATGTATCAAAATTTCCAGTCCTCAAGAAAAGGCCTAAAGGAAAAAAAATGTCTTGTGAGCAAGAGGGAGGGGGAAAAAAAAACCCTCGCTCTTCGCAGCAGGAACTCTTCAATGGCTATCGAGTTAGGATGAAGAAATAACTCGGAACAGAAGTCCTTATTCGGAGCGCTAAACTCGGTATTACCACATAAAGAGCAATATAAAAGCTCGGAGCAGCCTCATCATGATGTTGGGGAAACAACTCGGCTTCTCCGTGCGAGAGCAAGCGAGCTCCGACTGGGTAGTACCCTAGACCGGCGTTAGGGGTTTTATTTGCAAGTCAATGAGCCAAATGGGCGACCAAGCTAGTTGTGCCGCGTTCTGGGAAGCAAGGTTATTATTATCGCGTATTGTCCCAGCGAACAATTTCACTGAAAAGCAAGTCCCTACCGTGTGTGTGCGCTGGGTGCCATACGGGACGTGCAGCTACGTGCCCACCTTCAGAACGTCTTTATTTACAAAGCGATTACCATGTTATCTGTTTTCCTTTTCTAGCAACAGCAGCCTTACTCAGCCCTCGAATTTCTTAATTACAAACCCGTTCGTTTCTAAATCAACCCCAAACCGTCAAGCAAAGCCCGGAGGGAAGCTGTGCAAGTTTGCACACACCCCCACCTCCCAGATCAAGGGCAACTGCAGAAGCAAGAAACTGTATGTGCAAAAAGGTGGATCTGGGGACGAGGATCGCTGAGTTTGTTTACAGACCAGAGACGCCTCAGCTCGGATGCCAAAGCTACCAAGAGCAGCAAACGCAAACTTAGCAGAAGCACACGTACCCCGGGAGCGGCGAGCGGGCCCCAAAGCGCGGACCGGATCGACGGGCGCGGAAGCGGGACGATTGGGCCCGCGAGCGCGCTCCGTCCACCTGCAGTCGCTGCTGCTCCCCGCCCCCAGCTCCTGTCCTTGAAAGGAGTGGAAAAAAATGCATCTGCACGCAGCAGCTCGACATGGTGTTTACAGGCTGCCCCTATACACACACAAAAGCATGGCCCAGGAGAGCCCGCTCGGGGGAGGGGGCAGGATGCGTCCCTGGCTTTAACGACCCACTCAGGGAAACACAGCCCATCTTCGCAGCCTGGAAAGGCTTCTGCAAAGCTTAGGAGCAGAAGGGCACTCTAGAGGGCGGGGGCCCCGAGCGAACCCCCTTTTCCTGTAGAGCAAGCCAGACTGCTAGGTGAGCCGGGTGGGCGAGCTGGGGACGGGCGTCGGCCAGAGGGGGCGGCGAGTTTGCCTCGCTCCTCTCGGGGCAGACCCTGCCCTCGGGCTGGAAGTGCGGGAGGATAGTCCCCGCGCCGGGAGTGGTGTGGTCAGCCCCACGTTTCTGGGCCGGGAAGAAACAAGAGGGGGCGGGGCGGCCGCAGCCTTTGCGCACGTGCCGCTGGCCGCGGGGACGCGGCTCCAGAACCCAGTCCACTGTGAAGATATTCCAGAATCCGTGTGTTGGCGCCGCCCGGCTGGGAGGCTCTCGCTCCGCCCTTTCTGAAATGCTTATATTAACTGCGGCCAAACCCGAAGAAACACAGCTCATTGTTGGCAGATGCCGGGCGGCCTCGCCGAGCTGTGAGGGCAGCGGAGGGGAAATAAAAGGGAACGGCTACGCTCCTGCCCCAGCGGCCGCTGCAAGAGCTCGGCGCCAACCTCGCGCCGGTGAGCGCCCCGCACGCCCGGAAAATCCCCTCTATGTGCGGCTGAACCGGCCCTGGATCCGACGATCCCGCCCTCGGTCTTCGGAGCAGAAATCGCAAAGACGGAAGGTGAGCGCGGCGGGCGAAGCCAGTGGGGCTCTTGCCAGCCCGTCCTCCGAGGGCAGGGTTTGCCCGGAGGAAGAACGTGAGGCGGAGCTGGGGAATAACAACAGGATGTGCAACAACAGGATGAGAAGGCTGGTTTAATGCCTGAAGTTCGCGGCAGACTATGGGGCACTTCCTTTATTAAGCCACTTCGGAGGGCAGAGGGGGGTGTGGGCCGGGTCACCCCGCCCAGTCGCAGGGAAAGGGGCTGTGTGTCCAGCGCCCGGCTCTGTGGGTGGGTGGCAGATCTGCAGTGGTGGGGAGCCCTGCTGCACAGGCTAGCTGGTTCCCAGGGACGTGCGCGCGGGGATATTGGGGGGCAGAGGCGAGAAGAGTGGGGTGCTCGGTGGTGGGCGACACGTGTGGCGCGGGGCTTAACGTCTGCTTTTTTCACTTTCAGGACTGGAAATGGCAGACCATATGATGGCCATGAACCACGGGCGCTTCCCCGACGGCACCAACGGGCTGCACCACCACCCTGCCCACCGCATGGGCATGGGGCAGTTCTCGAGCGCCCACCACCACCAGCAGCAGCAGCCGCAACACGCCTTCAACGCCCTGATGGGCGAGCACATACACTACGGCGCGGGGAACCTGAATGCCACGAGCGGCATCAGGCACGCAATGGGGCCGGGGACTGTGAATGGAGGGCACCCCTCGAGCGCGCTGGCCCCAGCAGCCAGGTTTAATAACTCCCAGTTCATGGGCCCCCCGGTGGCCAGCCAGGGAGGCTCCCTGCCGGCCAGCATGCAGCTGCAGAAGCTCAACAACCAGTATTTCAACCATCACCCCTACCCGCACAACCACTACATGCCGGATTTGCACCCTGCTGCAGGCCACCAGATGAACGGGACAAACCAGCACTTCCGAGATTGCAACCCCAAGCACAGCGGTGGCAGCAGCACCCCCAGCGGCTCGGGCGGCAGCAGCACCCCTGGCGGCTCCGGCGGCACCTCGGGCGGCGCCGGCGGCAGCAATAGCGGCGGCGGCGGCAACAGCAGCAGCAACATGCCCGCCTCCGTGTCCCACGTCCCTGCTGCAATGCTGCCGCCCAATGTCATAGACACTGATTTCATCGACGAGGAAGTGCTCATGTCCTTAGTGATAGAAATGGGTTTGGACCGCATCAAGGAGCTGCCCGAACTCTGGCTGGGGCAAAACGAGTTTGATTTTATGACGGACTTTGTGTGCAAACAGCAGCCCAGCAGAGTAAGCTGTTGACTCGATCGAAAGCCTGGTGAAAGAAATCAAACCCCCAGCTTCTTCGGTGTGAATTAAAAAACATTCCCTTAGACACAGTATCTCACTTTTCAGATCTTGAAAGGTTAGAGAACTTGGAAACAAAGTAAACTATAAAACTTGTACAAATTGATTTAAAAAAAAAAAATTCCGCCCCCTTCCCCCCCCCCCCCCCCCAGTTTTTGTTTCGTTTTTGTAGTCTTGACATTCACCTCCCCTATGTAGTTGAAATATCTAGCTAACTTGGTCTTTTTTGTTGTTTGTTTTTACTCCTTATTTCCTCACTTTCTCCAGTGCTCAACTGTTAGATATTAATCTTGGCAAACTGCTTAATCTTGTGGATTTTGTAGATGGTTTCACATGACTGAACTGCATTCAGATTTACGAGTGAAAGGAAAAATTGCATTAGTTGGCTGCATGAACTTTGAAGGGCAGATATTACTGCACAAACTCTGCCATCTCGCTTCATTTTTTTAACTATGCATTTGAGTACAGACTGATTTTTAAAATATGTTAAACTGGAAGATTAAACAGATGTGGGCCAAACCGTTCTGGATCAGGAAAAGTCATACTGTTCACTTTAAAGTTGGCTACTCCCCCTCCCCCATATGTACAGACAATAATAGGGTGTGGAATGTCGTCAGTGGCAAACATTTCACAGATTTTTATTTTGTTTCTGTCTTCAACATTTTTGACACTGTGCTAATAGTTATATTCAGTACATGAAAAGATACTACTGTGTTGAAAGCTTTTTAGGAAATTTTGACAGTATTTTTGTACAAAACATTTTTTTGAAAAAATACTTGTTAATTTATTCTATTTTAATTTGCCAATGTCAATAAAAAGTTAAGAAATACTTGTTTTCTAGAGGTCATTTGGGGGTGCTTGTTTCTTTCAATGGTTTTTTCCCTCTCTTTAAGTTGAACCTTATTGATGAGAGTAAGCATTCCAAAGGATGAATTACAGGACACTAAAACAGGTCATGATGAGCTTAAGCAAAGAGCAGGATTTAACATAACTGGCATAATGCTTCATTGTTATCATTGTAACATGCCTCTTGGTGTGGTTTAATCAAAAGCTGCAAAGTTGTCAAAGAACATTTTTTCCCCTCAATTGCCATCATATTCAAGTTATAAAGGTTTGTAATGGTAACTATTATAAATTATCTTTTCACATGGGAGGGTGGGCAGGGGGAAGGTGGGGAAGGATCAAGTATTTCTAGTAATAAGTGATTTAACTATTTAAATGGTGGTAGACTGGAATAATATACTAGGTTATTGAGGGTAGCCTTAAATGTAAGTCTACCTTTATCTCTAGTGACGAATTTTATTTCTCAGCAAAGGTGTCTCAGGAGAGGCACACGTTTTAAAGCTTAATCTCTGAGATAGCTTCTGACTGGTTTATAGTTCTGAGAGGAAGAGGGGGCAGAATTCCACCTTAAGGCTTTCTATTTTGTTCTCCTATAATATTCAGAATTTACTCAGCAAGGTTGATTCAAAGGTCAAATTACAATCTTCACAAGATGTTCCCTCTCAAGCATGCCCTGTTTTCCAGAATTCTGAGCTTTTTCTGTTACATGCATTGGGTGCAGAGCACATAAGGATAAGATCATTTTAATTTTACCTAGATGAGTTATCAAGATGATAACTCCAGTTAAGTGGGTATCAAGTTTTGCCTTACATAATCAAGCAAAGGAAAAAGTAATATTATTAAAATCTCAAATTATCCCAGTTGGAAGGAGAAGGAATTTTATTTTGCTTTCCCTGTCATGTTTTCGTGACTTACCTTATGTTTATAAGAGCAATACACCTACATTCAAGAAAAAATATGGACTTTTGTACTTAACCTCCTGGGAGGAGTAAAGAAATAGAGGTTGAGAAAAATCTTTCAAAAAATACTTTAAAAACAGCATTGCCTTTAGATTCTTAGATTCTAATCTTAAATCTCATATTTCATAATAATAATAAAATCCAGGAGGGAAGGGTTATGGAGGTGTTACATTACAGTGAGTCTGGCATAAAGGCTGATTTAAATCTAATTCACATCACCTACATTGTATACTTTCATCTCCAAGGCAGGCCATGCGAAATGAAGAAGCACACTCAATTGGGTTTTTTATATCTGTATAATAGACATTTTTTTTAATTAAAAATTATGTTCTAAATAAACAATTTCTTTGTGACTATACCGAATCATTCAAAATTCCTTTTTCAAAGCTGATGCAGATTTTCCACATTAATAGTTAAAGCTGAAGTTTTCTTCAGCTAAGACATGTCAATACTAAATCTGCAATCAGCAATAAATCTTCCTGGGTATGCATTTTCCCAGTAAGTTTTTCTTTTTCTTTTTTTTCTCCAGAGGCTCAAGTGAAAAAATATGTTTGCATACATATTAATACAGCAATTCTATTTCTTTTTCACTTGTGCCAGGAAAAAAAGAAAGCTATTGGAGGCATTGTTTTTTTCTGCATAAAGAAAGAAGCGAAAGAATTGTCTTGCCACCACCTTTCACCATTTATTCTGCCAGGGAATAAGCCACAACACCTGCTCTGTCACTAAATTCCTCCTGCTGTTCCAATGCCGGAACACGTATGTGGAGATGCAGAGCCCAAGGAACTATTATTAGCTCCTGAGCCGATCCCTGCCAGCACAGAGGACTCAAACAGGAGCTGGGTTAAATGCACCATTTCTCTTCAGTAAAAATGCAAACAGCCCCCCTCCCCAATTCTCTTGAATGATCTTTATTTCATTAAAACTCTTTCTTGATCAACAATTGCGTAGATTCTGTGCGATACCTGCAGGGCTCTTAAGCAGAGAAAAATAACTCCTTGTTTGAACAACCTGATTAATGAAACCTGTACAGTGACCTAGATCACCCGGCTACTGGCAGACATTTGCAAAACCTTTTGTAGTCTTGCTTCCTACTAAGTTGCTTATAGCATATGGGGAAATTTGACCTCTGTACCTTGGCTGTTTTTCAAAAAGTTCTAATATGGTACAAGAGAGCTTGTGTTCTTTAAGCTTTGCCCACAAATGGACGCTCTATGCTTGATTTTCAAGAAGAGATCCATGATAAACAACAGCACAACATCATAGATTCATGTCACAGAAATAAGTACACATTAACAAATATTGTACCTCTGCCTTGTGGCTGATAAAACCCTGGTGGCAGTATCTTTGCTGGAGCTGATAAAGACGTTACAGCTACGGATGGGTCTTTGAAGAACAGTTACCTAATCACCGCTGTTTATGGGGTGCTAGGCCAGAGCACTAGTACCAGAAGGCTGACATCTATTGTGAAGTTTATGGTCTCCGTGACTTTTACTACTGTAAATGCCTGGGATAGCTATAAATTGATGTCAACATTAAAGGCCAGATCCTTTAGAGCAAAATATTAATCCACTAATCTATTATGGGTGGCCAGCTCTGAAATATAAACTTTGTAGTCCCAGACCATTAGGTGTTTTCGCCCCCTTGTGGAAATTACTTAGAAGGTCAAAAGAAAGCTGTTTCTTCAAGAGGTTTTCTGTTTTATTGCCTGCTTGTTTGTTTGCTTTTTGCCATTTCTGAAGACTACATTTTCTTTACTGAAGCAAACAGCGTATATTTGATCAACACATTTTTTATCAAAGAAGATTCCATAATAAACACCCTTCATGAAAATAAGAGTACCTTACCAAAGACCTTAGCCTATGATTAAGTCTGCTTAATTGAGATTTGCCTTCTATTTTAAAATATGCATTGTCTCAGGGATTTTCTTGTTAAAAGTGTAATAAGCAGGGGTTTGGACAAATCTCATCCATGTTGGAACAGTGAGAACTCTGCATCCCAACAACAGGATTATTGATTTGGAATAAGAATACATAATACTGCATTTGATGGTATGCATGGAGTTGAGAAGGTGGAGGGAAATGTCCAGGAATGCAGGATGCCGTTATCTAGGTTGGAATGTGACCGAGCCACTGGTTCTAATCTTGTGAAAGGGGCTGCTGGATCTTTCTTGAGAATGAGGGTTGTTGCTGTCCAGTTGATTCAGTAAAATTACTTTAAAATAAACCTGCAGGTAACATTGTGTCAAAACACAAAAATAAATTTATAATTCATAGAATTTAGAATCTAAGCATTGGCAGTTTTTTCCTCTCCAATGGTATTGTTTTGCTAGCACAAAAGAAGTGTTACACATAGCTTCAGAGATGGTATTTATCATCGTGGTACTGTACCACTATCATCAAAATCAGAGCTCCCAGGCAGGTTAAGGCTGAGCCTCAGCAAGAGAACAATAGGTAGCACATCAAATGACTTAGCCAATGAACCCCTATTATCCTGTGTTCTGTTGGTCTCCCCCTCCCCCCAAGAATAGAAGCAACAATGGCAATGTCAGAATTTTAATTGCAATGGACTGGCTAAATTACTCGACTTATTTTTATCCAGCAAGGAGAGAAAAGATTCTTTTTCCCTGGTACCCATACTTAAAATTTAAAGTGGAAAAAGAAGTCTAAGTATGTCTTCTATCAAATAATATACTGTTCATAAATAGCTTTAGTTTGCCTTAGAGTAAATAACACTCACTTATATCTTTGAAAAAAGTAAGACACCCGGAATAAAGAACTTTTTCTCCTACAGGAGGGAATTAAGCTAATAAATAATACTAAATAAGTAACTTAAAGTAGTATAAGAGCTGCTGACATGAATTTCTATAGTATCTTGCTATTTATAAACACAATGAAAGAAAAAGCTAAGGGAAATGGGGATCTGCTTTGTGGAGGAATTGAATCCATGGCCCTTGGGAAAGAGAATACAAGAGCAACCCCTTCCATACTTTCTACCAACAAATAATGGCTTCTTAGTAGCTGGATCCTGATCAATTATTTCCTTCCCCAAGATCAGCGCTAAATGTTGTCCGGGCCAGCCTCATGAGATGGTGGTGCTTTTGGAGAATTCAGCTTGGTTAAACCAGGACACGAGGAGTGAACTAAAGCAGATGAACGATGAGTATTATTACTTGTTTTATATGTTGTTGGTTTTCACTAGGCTGAACTAATTTGAAAGATTAGTGGGGCAGGGGTACCACATGGGGTGAGGGCAGTGGTTCACAGGATTCTTGGAATTTTCCCATGGCATCACCATTGTGCTCAGCCCTGAAATCCTTC